TTTACTGTTTCGTAAAGGAAACTGGCGTAATTTACACACAGGTATTTTAAAGTACGGTACCCAAAACTGATCTACTTCTCAATATTATTATGAGTGATTATTAGACACATAAAGGTAATCAGCGATAAGCCGTATACCAGATATCAGATAACCTGGCCGAAATTGGAACCGCGGAACACTCAAGGGAGATGTGACAAGTATACATAAAACTTTAGTTGGGAAACCTGAAATGAAGAAACTGCTTGGGAGATCTAGGTGTAGATCGGAGGATAATATTAAAATGAATCTCCAATAAATAGGTTATGATTAGGTACAATGTGGACTGGATTTATGTGCCTCAGAATAGGAACTAATGATGTATATAATATTATTTTTGCATAAAAAGTGTTAAGTTTATTGATTAACTGAGTGAGTACTAGCTTTCCGAGGACTCTTTTCAACCAACACCTAATTTCACAATTTACCTGGTGATAGGCGGACACAGCCTCTGTAAACAGATCTTAATAAATATTTTATTTCATTTAACATTTATATTAAAAAATAGAACAGAAAATAAATAGCTTTGTTTTATAAGTTGTTTGGTTACTTTTTCTACTGTTATCTGCAATAGGAAATCCGGAATCGGTGTCCATTAAAACGCAAAGTGCAGTTTTAAGTTCCATATACTACTTCACATCTTGTTTCCTTGAACCAATCACGTGTTCCTTATGGGAACTTCCTTTCGGAATTCTAAGGAGGAGTTAGTTCAGGTCAGTTAGCCAACCGAAAGATTTCAGTCCATCATACCGTCTCATAAACATCTGTTACTTGGATTCCAGAAAACCCTGAACCGAAACACGGAGATTCGATAGGATTGCAGGTTCTTGTAATTTGTGTAGACAACTAAAATTTATTTCGGACTAATAATTTCATATTGTAAATTCAAAGTTGTCATGGTACGTACTTACTAAGCACCACGCAATGAAGACTTACAGGAGTGTGCTGGGATAGCTTCATTCTTTCGTCGCCTCGGCACTAGACAGAGATTCAGAAACTAGCTTAAAATAGGCTACGACCGTTTCCTCTCCAGTACCTGCCAACTGAACCAGTCTCCTTGTTACGAGACTACTTCCATGAGAGCGGAATTTACCTCGCAGAGAAACTTTCCTGATTCTGTTCCCACTTTCGATTTCTGACACTGACCTGGATTCGTGATGCGGAAGACGTGATGAACGATGCTATTGAAAAGCGTTCATAGGTTTTCTCACGTATCAGAATCGTGCTCAGGGTCGACTTGATACCTCTGATTCTCGTAGGCAGCAAAGTATCTCGTTTGCATGTTTCACAGTGTGAAGTCGGAATGTTTATGACCGTTTATAAAAGTTTGGCTCACTACCGGCTTCCATTTCAAGATTATTTTGAGGAATTAGGTACAGTAGCCTGAGTAACTGAAATAATTCGCTAACATCAAGGAGGTTAATACTCACTGAGAAGTTTATAGTAGCATATATTGATAATATATTATTTTACGTACCTGCAGGATCATTAATGTGTCCACAGTAATCCAACATTCGATACGCTGATATCCTGATAATGCTGAATTCAGTTCGCAACAACCTTTTTCCCATTTCCTTTAATATAACTTACATTTAAATATTATTCTCCCATCTACTCCCTTGTCTGCCAAGTAATGTTTTTCCATTTGATTTTCAACTAAAATCTTAATTTATCACTTATTCATACGTGCTACATTCGCCTTAAATCGATTGCCCTAATGATATTAAGTGAGGACTAAATGTTATGAAGCTCCATGCTTTTCTACGTGTTCCTGCTTCTTCCCCTGCTTAGCTTAAAACATTCTTCTCAGCGCTTTTTTCTCACGCCCCTTAAATCTGTGAGTTTTGGGGCTTTTGCGACCGTGAAGATGTGGATTATTGTCTTGTAGGCGGTTACCAACGTTTCGCAGGAACGTATCGTCTCCGATCAATAAAATCCCGAGAAGATTTTATTGATTGTACTCGTCGCGAAAGTCTCAAATCCCATAATATCGTCTACGTCTTCAAGGTAGAATGTTACTGAAGATGGAAGTCATGTTTATCATAGATATTGTTAAACACCTACAAGAATACACGGCTTCAACCTACAAGACCTCAATCCACACCCACAATTTTTGTTACTGTTAAATACCTCATCTTTACAAATATGCTCGTCGGTGTCGATGATCTTTGCCACATTAATCATAATTTCCATAGTGTTAGCAGAAGGAATAATATCTAGATATTTCCATTCAAATACAGCAACTCTTGACTCAGTATGGGACTCCAGAAAACATGTGTCAACAAAATATTATTAGAAAATTAACAATCAGGATTATACAAGAATCTTTCCAAACATAAATTACTAAAATGTTTTCATGTATTGAGCTTTGTCCATTACCTGAGGTACATTTAAATTAGAAATTTCAAGTAATTACGGTGCAGTCATTGTAACAATTTGTTAATAATAATATTTTCAGATGATGGACACTTCATGGTTTGGCTTGTAGTCTTTTTCGTTTTATTACGTTAACTTCATCTAAATATTTTACCAATCAACAAAATTATGTTCTACTTTTGCACAATTCATTTCGATTCAAATCCAAGTGGCGGCAGAGAATCTAAGGAATACGATGCCATCTAGTAGAGGTACAAACTACCTGCTGAATGAAGTGGCGTCCTCTTCACAACAGCCAACGTAACTACGTACAAGGACAGGTTGATTCGTTATACAGATATTTGAAATCACCCGTCAATAACTACGGTAAATTCTGATAATAGGCCCAGTACTTGAAAGAACGCCAACCAACGAACACATACATTTCGACGCATATCGTCGGCTATGCATTTCATTTACTGAACAGTTTGTAAAGCAAACCCCTCTGAATTCATGTTATTCTCGTATATTTTAGTGAAACTTGTGAAAAGTATATACATTAGATTTCAGTTTGCTCGTTTCTTTTCGTAATAAAAAAATTAATAAGAAGTATGTAGTAGTGAACAAACAAAATTTACTTTGAAGATATATGCACATGTTTTACATTGCCTGCGGTCTAACAGTGATTTTAAAAAGTGATCACTTGTCTGTTGCATTGATGGATTATGTTGGGCATTGTCCACTGTCTGATGCAAGGTTATCGGTAATTTAATATTAAAATCTGAAATACTGTAACAACCAGGACAGTGAGAAACTAGTTACCGCCTCGTAGCTATGAGGTTGCCAAGGCGGTGTAGTCTGATAGAAATTTACCAATGTTTCAGAGGTCCTTGCTGCGTCCATCATCAAGGCGCGGAGTAAGCTACGCGCCTGGAATCGGTTTAAGACATAGGAAACTGTCAGTCAAAACAGAGCCTTGGCCGGACCAGTGGGAAGTGCAGTCAGGATCAGGCGAGTTCCTGGAAGCCAATAAGAGTGGCTCTTCGATCCTATTGGCTCTGAAACTTTGATAAAATTTTACTAGACTATACGGCGTTACAACCCAGAAGATAGCTATCCTATTTACCACCTGGATTAAATGTTGTTGTTTTTTGCGAATCACTTAGGGTTCAACTTCCGGTAAGGCAAAATTTTAATTTTCCTCGCCAAATCGTACAGACCACTTTTGGTGCCCACCGCCCAGACGCTAATGGGTACCAGGTTCGTTTCTTGTAGTAAAGAGGCTGTGGAATGTTGCTACACCTCCAGTTTTAAAGGATCCATCTATATTTTCAACATACAGACTTATAACTTGTATTGTTTACATTAATTTGCCCGTATTCATCAAATCCCAGTTATTCTGACTGTAAGCTTAACATGCATGCACAATCTTCCATTCCATGGCATATGGTCGGTCACGCCCTTGATTTGAAGTTGTTTTTGCGATCTAATTCTTCGTCCAAGGACAAAGTGAACGAACTATTCAGATTTCTGTTCTACCGTAAGTAACCTCACGTTCAACGTAAACAAAGCCAGTTCAGCCTTTATAACGTATTCAAGCTAAACCTTATCGGCCGTGATACAAACAGATTGAACTTAGGAGGCTGTTAGGAAGTTACATTGTGTTCCATCAGACAGAGCTCAAAAGTATATTTCCAGAATTAAAATGAATGAAACTAGGCTGTGATTTTAACAACGGAACTCCACTTTGATATGCGACATTCTCATATGATACTTAAATGGAACCAAGTTGTTTAGATATCGCCCGTTTACCCGAGCTAACGTCAATTCTTCAGTTGTGTGCTTATGATCCCTACCTTAAACTAGGAATATAGAATATGTTGTAATAAGAACGAAATAAAGGTTTTGTGGAAGATACGATATGACTGGCATTGTGCAGAAATGTCAGAGCTAACCAAAAATGCAAGAAATGGCTCAACCACTATGAAAGAATTGTAATATTTACAAAGAACATCACTTGTTGCTTCTCAGAGATATGGTATCAACCTGAAGATGACTGTCTTCGGCGTTGTTACTTCGTGTAGTCTGGTATAAATTTGATTTGATGTTTTCAAGGCGATGAGTCCGAAGATGGTTGTCGTCTGGGTTATAGTGCCGTGTAGTGTTGTAGAAGTTTACCAACGTTTCAGAGGTTCTTGTTGCCTCTACAATCAGGGCAGTAAGCACCCTTGATACGTCGGTGAACTTCTAGAACACAAGGCGCAACATCCCAAAAGAGACATCTTCACACCTGTAGATACTCGGTCCCTTTCGCTTCTCCAGGTACTAAGGTCACGAATATGAATCCCAGGCATTTTAAACTCACGTGCCAAACAAACTAGTAATGGAACGTCAGTTAGGATAGCCGGTCACTGGGCCGACATTTGAACCCGGAACCTTTCGAATACGAAGCAGAAGTGCCAACCACACTCTGCCCTTCGATGCACTTTCCATTACATGAACTATACACCGTAAAGCGCGGTATTATTGAAGGTGTACTGAATTCAACATCGTTATTGTAGCAGATGTTAAAGTGTAACTTTATACTGTTATCTGACATTTATTTTCAGGTTCCAAAATCCAGTTTCCGATATGCGTCGTCATAAACCAAGACATGAAGGTAGGTAACTTTGCATTGCTTATGTAACTGTAATTACTGGAAAAGATTTGGTAGATACTTTAAACCAAAAGCTTGTGAACATACGGAAACAATTTTACGCAACTTCCATCGTGTTTGGTGGCTCTGAGTTCGAACAACTGGTTGTTTTTGATTGCTGATATTTACGAGAAAGATACTCAGAAGCCATGAAACTATATCATATTGTTGTGTGTGTTGTAATACGATATAACTGTTTGGTTCTCAGTTACGTAGCGGATGATATTTCTTAACTGCAGTTAACGAAAGGTTTCTGTTTCAGTGACTGTTGTTGGACGGTCTCTGCGATAGGATCGATGCCCCATGGGCAATTCACAGAATTCTTACGCGCTTTCACAGAGAGACCCGTGTACATAGTTTGTTCATTTAACCATTCTTAGAGTCACGGAGTCAGTTATGAATATTGTTTTGCCAGAGTACGCGCAACGCAGTTTGAAAGCGACTGTTGTATAATGCATAATGTTAGCCCTTTATATATTCTTCTTTATGTACAATCAACAGGTTTTTCTATTTTTTTCCCGCTATGTAGGCAAGTCATTAGTTACACTAGGCATTCTGAATGGAGACTGTACTCGCTTGTAACCGCAAATGCTCTCCATGATTCGATACAAGTTACAAACGATCGCACACATTCAATGCCGATCTTTTTTTATATATTTTTTTTGCGTATATGCTCAGCAGGTATGCTCTTGACAACTGGCTGGGAATCCCCGAGGTCATCTGTAATGTATAAGAATATTTTAAAATAAGAAAGCAGAGCCTGTTAAAACGTTCTTTTATTCTGTCTAATCGTTGTATGTTTCACTTTTCTGTAAAGTTTATTTTACTTATTAATAACTTCGATATGTTGTGGGCTATCAACTAAAGTAATTATTGCACTTCACAGAATACCATTAGGTTGGTCTATTTAACGTTGCTGGGACATATTCAGAATAAATGTGTCGTTGATATGAAATTATGTGACATAACACGATCATCCAGCAATGTAACTTTCTGCGAATTAAACAGCCGAAGTTCGATTCAAAGAAGAGGATTTGTAAAAATTGTCTTCGTCACCAAGGTCATAATAATGCTTGGACATAACAAAATTAGTATCCAATAAATCAATTAAATATTTACGTTCTCATTTGGCAACAGTAACTAATTAGCATCTGGAGATAGGTATGTAACATTTTACTGCTGATAGCTTCGTTCTCATTTGGCAACAGTAACTAATTGGTATCTGGAGATATAGTTATGTAACATTTTACTGCTGATAGTTCATAAACGCAAATGTAAATTCTGTATAATGTATTTATTATAACAAACGCGGCGACGTATACTGGCGAAAATTATGGACTAAACGTATGATTAAAAGTGAATAATTATTAATTTATATTAGCCTCTTCATACAAATGGAAGCGTTTAAAGAGTCTGGAGGTGGGTTATGTTATTTCACATACTTAATGTTTTATTAATCAGCTTACTGCACAATTAATTTTTATTTTATACATTGACAGCCTTCACTAATATGACTGATTCAGTGACAGTGTAATGTTTCTCGGAGGAACAGGAAAGGCATAAATTAAAACACTCCCTGTTGCTTAGGGTCGCCAGCCACCAAGAGAAGAACTGGTCTACCCTTCCACTGAAATGCTGAAGAGACTGGGCAATGCAGACACCACCACCAGGAGTGCCCTACTGCATGTAAAACAGCAGGGGTGAGTAGGATCATATTCACAACATTAAAATTTATTTTAAGTATCATCGACCACAAATGAAATTGTACATCTTCGTTTTAAATTTCCATTTAAATGTTCAAAACAATATTGTTTTTAGTAGGGCTATTAACATAATGAAAGAATTATGTTAATGTAAACCGTCACGCTGGATATAAAACTGTTATAAACCAAAAAAAAAAAAACTTCGTTAGTTGCGATGTCTTTTCGATGCTGTTGTTTGAGGAGCCAAGAGCTGAATGCACATGCACGTAATTCCACAGAAGCTAAAGAACTGTATCGTTTACATAATGTACGTAACGGAACGAAACGTGTGACATAGTTCGTTAAAATAAATATAGTGGTTTATATAACAATTTAAATTTATCATTACTAGTTTCAAAAATTTGGTCTTTTTCCATTGACTCTTGAATGTTTGTAAACTGACTTTAAAAATCACTTTTCGAAGGATGGACCTGCCTTCGTCATCAGGTGTAGGAGACACTAACTCTTTGAACAGACAATGAATGAAGTCTAAAAAAAAGACTAATATAATATAATCACCAAAGACAGAGAATGACTAAATTCAACAACTTAAAGCACTAGCTATACGTACATGGCAGAAAAATACTAAAGTATTTTGAAATACGAGGAGCGTCCACAAAGTAAGTTTCCCACTCGTCCCACAGCTAGCAAACCTTATATTGCGCGAAGCGACTGTGCTTACGTGATAGAGCAATGACGTAGCATGGCGCATGCACTAACGGTACTTCCCGCGTTCTCACAGTAGCATCGTTGCAGCTGTTGAAGATGGAGGTTCTTATTCCAGCTCCCGCCGACTGTGAAGTGCGGTCAGTGATAACGCTAGGCCGCACACGGCTCGACGGACAGCAAGTCTCCTGCAGGAGTTCAGCTGGGAGGTGTTTAATCATCCACCCTACAGCCCGGACCTCGCTCCCAGTGATTTCCATCTTTTCCTACACCTCAAGAAATTCCTGTCCGGTCAGCGTCAGCGTCAGCGTTTTGAGAATGACAGAGAGGCGGAGATGGCTGTCACACAGTGGTTCCAATCCCAGGCGGCAGACTTCTACGACACAGGTATTAAAAGTTGGTCCCACGGTATGACAAATGTCTCAATTCCGGTGGCGAATATGTTGAAAAATAGCTGGACACTTGCTGTATCTGTTGCAATAAATATTTCCATGAAATTGTGTTTTGTTTCGGTAAACGGCCCCAGGGAAACTTACTTGGGGGACGAGCCTCGTATGTTGTGTGGTTCAGTCAGGTTCACAACTCGCTTATCTGAAATATCATCATCCCATCTCAGTCCTTCAGGTGGTATCTTCCCCATGAGAGTTCCAACGTGTGTACTCGCTGTGTGGGATCTCCCAGTCAAGCACCAACGCCACCGAAAGGTGGATTTAAAATCGATACAATGACAACAAAGTATAAATTACACTGCAAACTTTTACGTAGTATTTCTTGAGCTAAATAACATCGTTCATTTTGTTTTATAAATCAGTAAATCGAAGGACTCACACTGCTCTAATTCTTCAAGAACGACTCATTACTACGATTTAGTTTTAACATTGCCCAATGGTGTGCGAGGTAAGAAGTCAAACATAAATGTCCATACCAACTAAAACTAGGTCCACTCCAAATTCCCTTCGTACGATGTTATCCGTTTCACTTCGTCTGCCCTAACCGCCATTATTCATTAAGTCAAATATTCGCTTTGATATCTTACAATCTAATTATCATCGAGGGACTATTTTAACGTGGCATTAAATTCCTAAATGCATGGAGATAACGAAGCTGTCGCAAAACATTTCTCAAGTAGTGTCAGTACGAATCTAGAACCCTACTAGCAATGTTAATCATTAAGGAACATATTTTGACTGTCAACACCGTGTCGAAATAATGATCACGTTCTCGAGGCGGTGAGTATGAAGAAGACTGTCCTCTGAGTTGTAGCGCCGTGTAATCTGTTAGAAGTTTGCCCACGTTTCAAAAGTGCTTGCTGCCTCCATCATCAGGGCGATAATCGTAAATACAGTCTTCGTCTTTCGTGCGTTATCAGCAAGATAAGCACAAAACAGGCTAATTTCGTACAATCGAAAACATCAACATAACTGAAGCACAAATCTGTGAAGTGGGAGCACCACATAATTTAATAACATGAAATGACAATATGCTTTTTTTAATGCAACTTTAAGGAGAACGTGCAACAATATGACAGCTACATAAAATATGCATTTCAGCTTCCGCTTTAATGTCGATAACTAATTAACCATTGGAGCAAGGCACATGGATTTTGGATGTCAACAGATCGTAAACATACCTACAGAATTCTGTATGAAGTATTACCCATAAATCAGCAATTAAAACACAGTGACGGTACGTATCCGATCATGTTCCACAAAATCGGTAATTAGGTAAAAACTTGTTCCTTCCTATCACCTGCCACATAAAAAAGGTACTTAATAAAAGATTCAGGATATGATCAGTGGCTTCCTCTCGTAAGCACGGTAATAAAACTCAACGTTCCATAATGGGCGAGGAATTTCTTGCCTACTTGAGAATATTATAAGCAAGAGATTCAGGCAGAATCGCAGATGGTGCTTGACAGGCTGACAAAGAAAGATTTCCAGGGATGCTTCCAGGCTTGGCAGCGGCGCTGGGATCGTTGTGTTCACTCCCAGGGGAACTACTTCGAGGGTGATGGATGAATTTAATACCTGAGATAAGTGTACGGGTTTTTATAGGCGCAGTCTTCGAAACTTTCCGATCGCACCTCGTATAACTTTGCAGTATACTTTATGGCATCAAACCTCTATCATTATATTCAGTAGAGCTAGTAGTTTATAACATGCAGGTCTGACCTATTCATAAGGACCTTGAGTATACTAAACCGAAGAATCATAAAAACAACCAAGCTGGAAAATATGTTTCGTAGAGGCAACAGTCCGAACAAGATATACAGCTAATAGATACCACAGATCGATGAACATGTTCGCAGTGTATAAGGCCACCTGACAAAATACTCGGTTATTTTAGTCTAGATGTTTAGTAAGTTGGTAACAACCGAGGGAGACGAGGAAAGCACAGCACCTATTAAAATATTTTATAAAAAAGTGACAGAAAGTGTTACCTAACCTGCCTTTTCTCAGAAAGAAACTTTTTAAATTAAATAACCGCGTCTCTGCTAGAATTAGAAAGGTGGTAACTGATGTATGTCATTTAGAGCCCATAAATACTTGCATTCCACCTTTATTCCTATGTTATTCCACGACGCTTTTTAACTGAACAGTGCACCAATTAAATGAGGTTAGTATCCATCCAGCAACGAGTCTATAATATCGAAACTTGATAACAGATTCCCTGTTTCTGTCTAAGCTGCAATGCAGACTCGTGTCTTAGTTGGAATACTGTCTGACCAAGTAGGACGTTGTATCTGTGGTGTGCCGTGTACTTTGCATGCAAACTTCTGTCTGTACTGGAGTACGAGCAGAAGGACCTGAATAAAGTGGGTCATTGTTTACGTCGTAGCCTATCACGTTTTATTATGCACATAAAATTGTCATCGCTGAGGATCCATATTATCTTCAACACGACCATAGTCACAAATAATAATGGCGACCGAAAGGTGGGAAAGTGATTACATACGAGTTAACATTACTTTGAATATTACAGTATGGCCACTGTAATAACAGAATGTGTTACGGGCGTTTTATCTTAACAGCAGGGATTCTCAACATTTTCTACACGTGGAGCCAGGTTTATTCCTTCTTATCGATTCGCGGGCGGCAGTGTTATAAATGAGGGCAATTTGTTGAGACGCCATGGCGGCACATTAAGAATGATGCTATATTAGACTTACTATTGCAAACAGGTTCATGTATTACTCAGCAATTTTCTTTAACAAAAGTAGTCGTTAATGAGATATCTGACACTACTTTTGCTTGAGTAATCTTTCAATATCGACTTTAATTTCTGTTGTTATGATTAACACGCGCGCTCTCTCTCTCTCCCCAAGTGTTCGTATATAGGACGCGTCAGAGTTCTTGATCTGACGTTTTTAATTGAGCTGAAATACGCACTACCATTAACAACACGTGTTTCTTGATTCCAGCAAACTCTTTTCATAAAAAAAGCGAGACACAGGTTTACGAGAAATGTATGCGGGCCACGGCTTGATGCCCCTTGTCATACAGTGTTGCATCCAGCACAACTCTTCTAATCTACAGTAAAAATTGTCCATTGTCGTTTGTCCAAACACTTTTACGTTTTCCTCACGAGTAACGAGTTATTTCGAATCGGGGAAAGGTACAGGGACACGATAATTGACCTCTGGGTACCACAAAGGCGGAAAATTTCTTGACTAGACGAGTGGCTGCTAACTTACCAATGACTCCACGGAGTTAGCTAATTACTACATTTAATTTATTCAATGTATTTAGTACTTTTAATATGATAAGTAGAGATTTCCAGATTTGCCACACAACCAACATAACCAAAGCAGAAGAGAATATTATCAGTGCATTAAGAAGATACTTGGGCTTAGCACTGGGACGGCTAGTAAGTAGGCATATTCTTTGCCACACAGTCTGATTTATTAGTGTATATAGAGACAGTTAAAAGTAAACTTACAGTAGCAGAAGGACTTGACTTACATCACCGTGACTTTCCATTTTGACTAAGCGGCTACTGATTTACCTGACTCAGGATTTTTGCTAATTTATACAGTTCTCGCACCTTAAACCAAGTCACTTTGCTCCTTCAACTCACAATTGATGGTGGCTTCTTGGAATCCTTGCAAATTAAATCAGTCCCTTCACTCTATGGTTCTCTTAATACAATTAAATAGATCGGACTGAATTTCACGGTTAGCTGGTTTCTGAAATTGGTAATTTTTTTTTCGTAAAGTAACAGATGCAAACAGTCGTCTTTACATTGCCGCAAGGAACTCATTGGGTATCTACGTAACGCCTTGTCTTTACTCTTGCATTTGTATAAAAACATTATTAAACCTGGAAACCTGGACATACCCTTCATCTGTTGGAATTGAACTCAGGGTTCCCGAACGCGAGTCTGACGTGTCATTGCTGCTGCCATGGGGTGTGGTTGCACTTGCACTGTGGGTATCAGATCGTGTAAAATGGTTG